CTACATGTCTGCAATCACCCCCTTCATCAAAATTAACATCTTCTTTCCTGATAGAAATATTCTTGGCAAAGTCATGGTATCATTTATTCTTTGAAACCATTCTCTTAACCAGAGTGTAGTATCATCTGGTTCTTAAACGACATCAAAACACATCGTTAAAAACAAAGAACTTAGTCACTAGGTCACCAAAAAATCTTTTGGCTTTTCTGAAGAGTCGCTTATATTGAAATAATCACTCTCACTGATGACATTCTAACTCTTTCTCACTTAGCGAATGTAAAGAGACAGTTCTCCTAATCTACCAGCTGATTACCCAGTGATACCATCTAAGAAAGGGAAAATAAATGTTTGATTCTTTCCTTTTATTTACCAGTTGTCAAGGTAAAGAATTGTTTCTTAATAATCTTTCAAATTAGTTTTTTAAAAAAATATCGTTATGAACTCATGCATTTAAACCTATTTGATGGATTTCAATAAATTTTAATCATCATCCTTTTCAAAGATTAAATTTTTCCAACTTTGCCAATGAGTTCTTCCTCAAGTTATAAATTCTTTATTGCAAATTGAACCATGGTTAACATACAGAAGGAGTAAAATTGGCATTTGGATTTCTTTTTGCAAAAGGATCAAGTTTTCTGTGCCCAAACAGTAGCTTCATTTCAGTCATTAAAATACTGTGTTAACTCTTTGTTCAGTGTGTGATGTGTGTGTCCATGTATACATGCATGCATTTGTGTGTGTCCATTTCTGCACATACATATGCATGCTTGTGTTTGTGTAATAGAGATACTTGCTGGTATCTCCTTCCAGAATTATTTACCACTTGACCTCAGAGTGGCTTTATTACATTTCCTTCCCTTGAGTGTATTATTTAAATATTCACTCCATTTTTCTCTGACCTAAAGCATCGATACTAGAAAGGACTAATTATAATTTAATTTTCTTTCCCTTATAAAGAACTAGCTATTTCAGCTAGTGATTTAAAAAATTATATTTTACATTTCAGCGGTTTGTCTTGCAGTTGGTATTGATTCTCTGTGTTACTATTGTCAAGTACATGATGTGCTCATTTCTCAGACAGTTTCCATTTTTTTTAAAGAAACTTTAAAAGTTTTAGTTTTTTCTGCTAATGAAGTTGTTTTTCTTCTTCAGGGACTCCTATTATCCATATGTTGGATATCTTTTTCCAACCTTTGATTTTTATCAATTTCTCTTAAATACTTTTTTTTTTTTTTTTTTTTTTTAAAGATTTTATTTTTTCCTTTTTCTCCCCAAAGCCCCCCGGTACATAGTTGTGTATTCTTCGTTGTGGGTTCCTCTAGTTGTGGCATGTGGGACGCTGCCTCAGCGTGGTCTGATGAGCAGTGCCATGTCCGCGCCCAGGATTCGAACCGATGAAACACTGGGCCGCCTGCAGCGGAGCGCGCGAACTTAACCACTCGGCCACGGGGCCAGCCCCTCTCTTAAATACTTTTTAAAAAATCTGTTTCTTAATTTCATTTTAATTTTGGTTTACCTTGTCTCCTATTTTTCTGAAGGCATTGTGAGTTATGCTTACGTTTTATATTATTTTTAATGTGTCTGATTTGTTTTGAGATAAAAATTGCAGTTTTGATGTATACTCTGGGTATGTCTTTCTAGCATACTTTTATTTTCTGTATTCTTTTTTTATTGTGATAATCTGATATTATATTTGATTTTCATATTGCAGTTAATTTTACGAACTTTAGAAAAAGTTTTGATTTAGAGTAACTTTCTGAGCAGAGCTCTCTCTTCTGTTGTTTTCTTATAAAAACAAACAATGGTTCTCTTGCTTTTGAGATTCCTTGACTCTGTTCTGTTCTCCTGCTTTTATTTGAATCTTATTTCTCCATCATCTCCTTTGCCCTATATACTCAATTCAATTCTATCCCCAATAATTTCTTTTCAGTTTGGACCCTGGAAAAGAACCAGAAAGCATCATTGGTGGGGCAGTTTAGAGAGTTCATAGGGGAGAGTGTCTCTAGTCTTCAATATTACTGTGTACCTTTGTTATATCACTTGCTATTGAAGAAGGCAAACACTCCCACCCCTCCAGTTTTAGTTGATTTTCTCCAGTTAGCCTGCATAACCTTCTAGCAATAACCTTATCAGTTATTTGGGGCTTCCCAGTTCTCAGGATCTCTAGACTCCCTGCTGTTTCCTCCAATTTCTTCTAAATAGATGCAGATACCATGCTAACTTTGCAGTTATTTTTATTTTTATTTTTAATTTGGAGTGGATACCTTGTGACCTTGTTCTGTTGTAAGTGTTTTTCATTTGTTTTTCATTCTGATATCTAGATGTCCTCTCTAGAGCACATAGTATATAGGTATTCAGTGAGTAAAAACTATACTGCCATTGCCATCTTCCTTCTAGTAAGTATATTACTAGTAATTAGCAAATGCCTGACAGAGTGTTTGGCTTATAAAGATTTAATAAAATATTTATTAAATCTGTAATTTAATTGATATATGAGTTAATTCATATACAAATAAATGTTTGAGTATTTGGTTTCATTACAACTTTATCCTTTATGGTACTTGAATAAGAGATAGTGATTCTCACGCTGTCCTCAGATTGATTTATTCTAGGATGACTATGCAATTTGTCCTCCAAACCAAACATATTTAGGTGTGAAATGGGATCTTTTAACAATTTTTGTGGAGTAACAGATGGAAATGAGCAAAAACAAGTACGCATGGTCCCCCTATTTTTACTTAACCAAGTCTTTTGTGTGTCACCTGGTCAAAGAGGGTGATGTATCCTCCCCAAAAGCAGAAACATCACCTCTCCAAATTTGTTGCTTTGACAATTTCTTCTCTCACAACTGTAAAGAAATTGTTAAAAATACGTCCACTACATTAGGAAGCACAGGAAACAATGACTTTCCAAGTGTGATCATAAGCTAAACGAATAGGAATAGATTACATTAGATCTCAAGATTTACATTTAATTTCAAATTTGGTATAATGCAAGAGTCAATATTGGAAGAAATACTAACAGAAGGAACTGTATCAGCCTGAAAAAGAATGAGAAATAGCTTGCGTAATAGTGTCTGCTAACCTGTGGGCGAGATACACTTAGGCAATGTGGAATTAAGACAAGACTGGCAAAGACTGACTATATACTTACAGTTTGGCCAAAGAACTAATTGTGCTCCATCACCTAGGTTATGACATAGTCAAGTGCTCCCATTGGGCTCCTTGATCACAGTTAGAAAATTTTGGAGCTATCCAGGATCACCAACACAAAGCCCTCTGGATATAAAAGGCCGTGATGCTCATCTTTCTTTCCATTTAAGACTGTAAAATAGATGGGTTGTCCAAAGATAGAATTTAGCATCATTTCTGCATCATTTAAAAGTGGTGTATCTTCTTCTCTTCAGCATGTACCCTCTTAATTATTTCAGGAAAGTATTTGAGAGACACACATCCAGCTGTTGGCCAGGTGGCTCAATTATGCTAAATTATCTTTGTTCTTAGAGTTTATTTCCTCATGATCTTTGTGGATTACAGTGGCAGAACTCTTCCTCTAATCAAAAAGCACTTTGCTTAGTTGCTATAAAGCCTATGAGGGACCGAGAAAGCACTAGAATTCTCCTTTACAATGTAGGAATTCACAGCATAGAAAATTTAGATTAGCTCATCTAAACATAAGGAGATCTTTTTTGAAGAAGAAGAAGATTAGCCCTGAGCTAACATCAGCGACCAATCCTCCTCTTTTTGCTGAGGAAGACTAGCCCTGAGCTAATATCTGTGCCCATCTTCCTCTACTTTATATGTGGATGCCTGCTACAGCATGGCTTGACAAGCAGTGCATAGGTCTGCACCCGGGATCTGAACTGGTGAACCCCAGCCACCGAAGCAGAACATTCAAACTTAACCACTGCACCACCAGGCCTGCCCCCATAATGAGATCTTTGGTATAGTAAAATGAGAGGTCGCCTATTCTCTATGGACTGCCCTGATAATCAAATGCCAAGATCAACAGTGACAATAGGCCTCTCCATCTCCATCACACCTATCACCATAAACATACAAAGGCACAGAGTCACATACACATACATATAAATTTGTTGTATTAGTTATATATAGCAGCTTAACAAATTACCACAAAATTTAGAGCTACACAACTAACATCTATTATCTCACATTTTCTGCAGATCAGAAATCTGGGAACTTCTTCAGGGTCTCTCATAGGCTGCATCAAGGTGGTGGCTGCACTATAGTGAACCCAAAGCTCAACTGGGAAAGAATTCCCTTCCAAGTCCCAAAGATTGTCAGCAGGATTCAGTTCCTTGGAGGCTGTTGAACCAAGGGCCTCTGTTTCTCATTGGCTATGGACTGGAGACTGCCCAAAGTTTCATGCTTTGTGGGTTTCTCCAACATGGTAGCTTGTGTGTACAAGTCAAGAAGGCAAAAGAGTCTGGTAGCAAGATGAAGTCACAATCCTTTGCAACCTAATCACAGATGTGATATGCCAACTTTGCCATGTTCTGTTGGTTAAACAAAGTTACTAGGCTCAGCTCACACTCAATGTGGATGAGTTACACAAGGGTGAATAACAGGAGGTGGAAGTCATTAGCAAAGCTTTCGATGTTTGCTTATCACAGAGATTAAAGAGAAGGATTTGGTAAGAGATGGCCTAATCAGCTCTGCCATCCTCAGCTCATTACTCACCTTAAATGGTTGAGTTCTTCAGAAGGAGATACTGAGGTGGAGTTTAGGATGTAAGATATTCACTAAAGGGATCCAGCAGACTTGAGTTAAAGGGCTATGGTGGAAGACAAAATTAACTCTTTATTGCTTTCTGTTGTATCCAGTCTTTTCTCCTTTTTTTTTTTTTGAGGAAGATTGGCCCTGAGCTAACTGCTGCCAATCCTCTTCTTTTTGCTGAGGAAGACTGGCCCTGAGCTAACATCCATGCCCATCTTCCTCGATTTTATATGTGGGATTCCTGCCACAGCATGGTGTGCCAAGTGGTGCCACGTCCACAGCTGGAATCTGAACCGGTGAACCCTGGGCCACTGAAGCAGAATGTGTGCACTTAACTGCTGTTCCACCGGGATGGCCCCTCCAGCCTTTTCTTATGTAAGAAGACTTTTGATATGCCAACCTGAAGTGTATAGATATCCATCAGTTAAATATGTGTGTAGATGTGTATTTTATGTTCGATAAAATTTTATGAATCTTTAGGAATTGTATACATAACCAGTTTACCTGGGAAAAAGGCATATGTGTACTCATATTTTAATATTACTAGCTTTCGTGTCAGACTATCTAGTTTCTGAACTCAGCTCTATTCTTTTCGAGTTATATGACCTTAAGCAAGATTCTCTTCTTTTTTTTTTTCGTGAGGAAGATTTGCCCTGAGATAACATCTATGCCAATCTTCCTCTATACAGTATGTGGGATGCCTCCACGGCACGGCTGATGAGTGGAGTAGGTCCGCATCCAGCATCTGAACCTGTGAAACGGGCTGCCTAAGTGGAGCTCGTGGAATTTTAACCACTAAGCCATGGGACTGGCACCCATTAGGCAACATGCTTAACATCTTTAAGTTGCAATTTCTGATTAAGAAAATGAAGTTGAGAGCCAGGCCCAGTGGCCTAGTGGTTACGTTCAGCATGCTCTTCTTTGACAGCCCAGGTTCTATTCCCAGGCATGGACCTACACCACTCATCTGTCAGTGGCCATGCTGTGGTGGTGGCTCACATACAAAAAGAGGAAGATTGGCAGCAGATGTTAGCTCAGGGTGAATCTTCCCCAGCAAAAAAATAAATTAATTAATTAAAATAAAGATGATCATAATAATAGCAGCTGCATTATTGGATCTGTATGACTATGAAATGAGGATATCCATGCAGAAGAGTTTAACAGTGCTTAAGTATATTATATAAACAAATGTAAACCATTATTGTTATTTTCTGCATAAAATTAACGGTCTGAAAAAGAACAATTCTGGGTCTAAAAGAGGAAAATGGAAACCATTCAGCACATTTGACTGAGTATTCTATTTAGTTTTTAGGAAGGACTTTAAGTATGGTTTTGGCAGATGATAAAAGAAGATGCTACATTTGGAGTTGAATAACAGAGCTATTGAAGGTTTAGATAACAGTTACATATAACTCAGTCCTCTTTCCTTCCAAACCTCAACTGTAAAATGCACCGTAGGCTTTAGAGAAAGTAAACATGAAAATCTCAGAAATATTTTCTACACGGAAGATTTAGAGTAGAGAATTTACTATAACCAAATCAGTGTTCACTGCCTTGGACCATCTACTAGATCATTAAAATAGATTTATTTTAGAGAGAAACCTTTCTCGTGCGTGGCTTTTGGATTCTTTGGCTGTCACATAGGTTTAATAAGTGTACCTGGGGCTGAGTTGTATGTAGAACCGGCCAAGAGGTTCATTGCACCTTAGAAAGCTGTTATCTGCTACTTCTTGTAATCCATCCATGTGTGGACATGTTGTTATTCTCATGTCCACGAATAGTTAATGACCTTTTAATAAAGCCTTTCATGACAATGCACAAGTCACTTGGGGATTTTCATGACCATGTTTACAAATGTCACTCCTGTGTAACTATCTAAACTAATTATGTAATAGGTTATCTAATAGGGGAATCTCATAGAAAACAAACGCGAGAACTCAGTAATGATTCTCTCAAAAACCTTTTAAGGGATGCTCAGCATTATTGGGACTGAGCATTTTAAAATGAATTTCTTAATATTACCTCTACAAATAGAGCTCCATTGTCCACCAAGTCGCCCAATGCTATTATGTCTTTCTTTGATCTTACGGTTTCAAGAAAGTAGCTCAACATAAGAAAGCAGATTAGGAAGAGTGTCTTAAAGAACAGCAATCCTTTAAATTCCTATTCAGTCATGACCCACTCCTCTCAAAATGTAAAATTTCCACACGTCAAAAGCAAAGCAATTTGTTTGAATCAAATGCTTAGAATCTTGGACTTTAAAACTATATTCATATTTTTTGTCTTTAATCTCTCCTGATGAAAGGAAAGTACTGTTTTACTCCAGTAGAATTTTTACTAGAAAATCTTTGAAATAAAAAAGTACTCAATTTAGAGGTGTCATTTTAGGCTAAACATATCAGAGAAAGAGTTCAATTAAAGCTGGGTAGCCTAGTGGAGATAAATTAAGGTTAGCATGCAGGAGACTTGGGTTCCGGTTGAGGCTCTGCCAATAGCAAGCTGTATGACTTTGAGAACTTATTAAACAATATACTCAGGTCTTCATTCCTAAGACGGAATGCCAATTCTCTCTAACCTCTTCACGGAGTGTTTTTAAATATCAGATGAAATGAAAAGTCATGGGGAAATGCTCACAGTAAAATAAATAAGACTGAAAAGGCAGGATATACAATTGTATTTACAAAATGAATTCAATTATATATAAATAGAAAAGGCTATACATCTGAAAATCTGTATTTATTTAAATAAGAGCTAGCAAATATATGAGTTACTTTCACTTTCTCATTTGTACATTTCACTATTACTAAAATCATAGTTTAAATCAATGTTTTAGTTGTAATGCTGCTGGGATTGTATTTTCAAAAGTTGAAAGTATTGTGTTAAAGAAATACGTTATTATGAGAGAGAGAAAGTAGATTATAGTCAGAAAAGAGAACAAGGTTCACAGTCATGTGATCATTGGTTTAAAGTCTGAGTCTGCCATATACTAATGTGCCTTTGGGCAGAATATTTGGCTCCTTTAAGCCACAGTTTCTTCATCTATAAAATAGTAATAAAAATGTATTTTTATTATTATTGCGTACAATAATAGATTAATAATATCTAGCCCATTGAAAATCCCCCAATACTATTCTTCACTGGCGTTATTTCTTAAATTTCAAGGAAGGATTCAGTTTCAACACAAAAGTTACAAAACCAATATAAATTAAATACAGTTAGGGAAGGAGCCACTTTCTTTCACTTCTTCATTAGTATCTATCATGTCAGTTCCTTTGTCCACATGAGATATTATTTTTAATTTTGGTAATCTAATATAACACTCAATTTTGTTATCTTAGATGTAGTCGTAATTATACTTGCCCATGCAGGTATTATGAGAACAAAATTAAATGAGACAACATATGCGAAATGTCTGGCTTAGAGCAGCTCCTCTCATCACTAGAGGAAGCACAGAGACAGACCCTGGCAATTCACTGAGGTCAAATGCCACTGAGGGGATCGCCTGAAACATCCATTTTAGTCTGACTTAGCAATCAGAGGGAGGAAACAGTTGTATACAGAAAATACTGGGAAAAATTGTCAAGAGTTTGGTAAAGAAAGAACTTCCTAGATTTTTGTTTTGTTGCTACAGTGCAGTGTGCACACTAGTTTGTAAACATTCTATAAAATAAAGGTAAGCCTTCATTAAATATGAAAATTATTTTCTCCTTTTTGGTTAAACGATGGCATAAGCTTCAGAAATGTACACTACATTATATTTTGAAATATCTAAGCTGCATTTCCCCACAATAATAGCTTTATTAAATTTTTGCCTGAAACTGGAGACCAAATTCTATAAAATTAAAGCAGCATATGAAATACAGCATTTTCCTAATACTATCTACTGCTATTGTTTTTCTCTAGAGATCAGTATAAAATGATATTTGATAGTCTATTATATGCTTATTCAATTATAAAAGCATTAAAATCAGAAAGTGGAAAACGAGGAAGCAATAGCTGATCACCTTACCCTGGCATGCCTATCACATTATGGGCTCATTGAAACTCAACAATTCTCAAAAGGTTGTACCTGGTTTTGTTTTTATGTTAGCCTTTTTTTGAAAGAAACCTATAAAACTGAAATTTATCTTACAGTTTCTTTGAGCTTGGCTTTCCTTCTAATAGAGTGGTCCTAAATACGGGGAAATTTTTTCAATATACTGATCTGTCCTATCGATAGCTATACTTAGAAAATATGCCGGGGAGAATAAAAGAGGATTGATGCTATTATCTGCTTTTCATTGCCTTCAATGAAAATTTCTCTGCCTAAGTACATACCATGAAATGACATTTCAATGCAATTATTCACAATAAAATGTACTGATGTCCATTCAAAATTATAACCAAAGCCACGTCTTTTAAATTAACCTAATGAGCCTACTACCTATCTATCTGTTAGCAAAAGTAATGGAAATGACAACAGTTTGAAAAATGGAATCACACTGAAAGTCATGCTACTGCCCTTCCTTTATTACTCTTTCCACAGCAGCATCCATGATTAAGTGATTCAGTTTAACTAGACCAAATATTTGATGTGTATATTTTATCTACTGCACACTGTGCTATACACTGAAGAGGGTTCAAAGATGAGTAGGTCTCATGACCTCACATCATCAACTTATGAGCATTAGAGGATATTATACATATCAAAATATTAGACAGCTTAAGGTGATTGCCATACAAGAAGTTTACAGAGAGGCCAATCAGTGTTCAGAAAAAGAGAAAGCATCCATTGTAAGAAAAAGAAAATTTTCCCAGAAAGGATCGAATTTAGAATGGACTTTGAATGGTAGGAAGAGTTTCAATTCCTGGGAAAGGAAGAATAGTGAAGTTTAGCAGAAAAAAATGTATGTAGTAAGCAAAATCATGAAGCTGTGTGGGCTGGGTGGTTTGCTTAGGAACCAACATGCAGCCTATAGATGAGAGTCATGGGAAACAAGACCAGGTAGGACTGTGAGGGGACAGAGGAAGTGGTCTCAAGAACCTTTGTCAAAATGATGGGAAGAAAGAATAGAAAATTCCAACTGAACTCAGAAAACAAGGAGATTTTTAAAATTTTTGTTAGTAGGGGAACTAATTGTGACAACCAGCCTCTAAGATAGCCCACAGTGATTCCAGTTTTCTGGTATCTGCACACTTTTGTAGTACCCTTCCATATTGTACCAGTTTGCCTGGGTGACCAATAGAATATGGCGGATGGATATGGCTGCTTCCAAGATTAGGTTATAAAACATAATATGACTTCTATCTTGTTCTTTGTCTCTCTTTCTCTTCTCTGTCTCCCTTTCTCATCACTCATTCTTGGGGAAGCCATGTCATGAGCAGTCTTATCAAGAGGCACATGTGAAGAAGAACTGAAGCGTCCTGCAAATAACTAGGTGAGTAAGCTTGGAAGCAGATCGCCCAGCCACAGTCCAGTCTTCAGATACTACAGCCCTACTCAACAGCTTGACTGCAACCCCTTGAGAGATCCTGAACGTAACCATGCAGGAAAATTCCTTACCGGTTCCTCACGCTCAGAAACTGTGTGAATAATAAATTTTTGTTGTGTTGAAGGTGACAAGTTTTGGGACTATTTGTTATGCAACAATAGATAACTAATACAATATGGGTGGACTTTGTGGCATAGTATTAGTCATATGGCAGTAAAATTCTGAGTAGCTTAGAAGAGAAAGAGATAAAAGATGAGAAGACAAATTTTATTAACTTACTATGTACCAGGCCTCCAGCCATGTGCTTTTTATGCATTTCCTCATTAAACAACCCCAGTATTCTTTGAAGTGAGGTACTATTCTTATTTTATAGAAACTTAAATTGTAAAGCAACTTGTCCAAGATCACACAGCTAATAAGCAATGAGCCAAAATTCAAACCGTTGTTTGTTTATAGAAACAAGTATTGGTTGAATGAATGAATAAACACACAAGTGCACATTTCATGGGTTGTTATAATGTCCTGCTAATGCTTTTCCCTTGCCTTTAAGAAAATTTGGAAAGATTCTCAATTAATCCTAACAACATTTTTCTTTGTAGTTCTCCAATAAATGGAATCAAAGAAAGATGTGCAAGAAAATTCGTGGTTTGCCATACTTCATTGGCCCAGACGTAAAGATTTTATTGTGCAAATCTTTGCAAGAACTGTCTTTAAACTATCCTCTCTGGCCTTTTCTGTATGAATGATTTCTGGGAAGTGCTTGCTTTTGACCTCCTTTGAGGTTTTAAGCAATAAAAGCCACAGAACAAACAGTCCAGGAGAAGGTTTGAACTCCTGAAATGGGATTCGCTTCAACACAGTTAAAAAAAAGAGTTTTCACGTGACATCCAACAAGAGTGGAATAAACACACAAATGGAGGAAAGGAAAAGAAAAAAAAGGAGAAACAGCAAACAAGTAACAGCGGCATTCACAAAATGCAATTTTAAAATAAACCTGCAGCTGAAAACATTGAGATCAACATTAATACCTAGTGTAAAACCCCAACGGATTGTATTAAAGTTGTATTTTAAGAGACAATAAAGCACAGATGCCAGAACTAGCCTGCCTGGGTTTATAGCCTAACTCTGCCCTTTATGGACCTTATGACCTTGGGAAGTTACTTACTCTGTGTGCCTCATCCTGAAAAGGGGACGATAATTGTGCTTAACTCTTAGGATTGTTGTAAAATTAAAGGAGTCAAGATATGCATGGTGTTTGCAAGAGTGACTAGCATAGATTAACTGCTACATATCTCTCCTGATAGATCTACAAGGGTGGGAGGAGGGAGGTGGCCTTTTCAGGGCAACCACGTCGATTCTTACTTCTGGTAACATGAATGTAACCAAAGCTGGAAGGAGATACAGATTTATGTAGAAATTAATTTCTCCCAGAGGAGAGGATAGCAGGTCTACCAGTTAGATTTCACAAATGACCATAGACACTAAATCAGTTATAATTCCATGAAACAAGATGAGAGTCATTTCTCCTTAAATTTTGCTCCCTAGGTACCTGCTTCACTCTGCTCCTGGCCTTTTGAAATGAAAATGCAAAGAAAACACAAAGTAGATCTCTGCGAGATTGGGCACTGTAAGAACCTTCCTGCTGTTCTCCAAGGGAGCTTTGAAACAATAATTAAGCACGCAAAAAAACAAATCTTCATGAATAATCGTATGTCCCTGTATTTCCTCTTCATTTTGTTTTCTTTTTAATTGTCATTTTAAGTAGATAATAGTTGCAATTGTATTTCAGAAGTCTGTGGAAATTGAAAACTGACTCAAAAATGGATAAATTGTTTCTAGCTGAGGCCCTCCATGGTCCAGGGAAAATATGCTGTTGGTGCAAGTTGCTTGCATTTTATTTATTTATTTATTTAAATTTTTTTTTTTAAAGATTTTGTTTAATTTTTTTTCCTTCCCAAGGGCCCCCAGTACATAGTTGTATATTCATCGTTGTGGGTCCTTCTAGTTGTGGCATGTGGGACGCTGCCTCAGCGTGACTTGACGAGCAGTGCCATGTCGCGCCCAGGATTCGAACCAACGAAACACTGGGCTGCCTGGAGCAGAGCGCAAGAACTTAACCACTTGGCCACGGGGCCAGCCCCGCTTGCATTTTATTTTTAAAACTCTTCCCTGGTTTTGTTCTAGGGGTTCTAAATATAACTGCCTAGAAAAGGTGTTAAAATACAGAGGTAACACATGTATGAGCAATATTCCTGCTTCAGGCAGAGTTCTCCCATTGTCCTATAGTTTTCCACCAGTATTTCCCTGCAGATTATTGCTATTGGGGACTATCCATTCTTGACTGGAAGATAAATGGCTTTAAAAAATATATGTATCATGGATCATTGGAGAGGAAAGTCTATTTTAATTAATATAAATAATATTTTGTTCATAGTTAGAACAAAATATATGGTGATGTTTGAAAATTTTTGTTAGGAAATACCTTTTGAAGAACTTTCCAATCTAAAGGGACATAAAGAGCTGAATGGTGCTTCATAGAATAACTAGAAAACCAGAGTGGATGAGAGAAGTAAGCAAGTTTTGAAGAAATATAAGGAGAAACTTTCTAAAAATGGATCTGTTTAACAATAAAAATAAAATTAGCCAGCACTTACCAAACACATACTATGTACCAACTATTGTGTCAAGAGCTTTATTATCTCATTTCAACTGTACAGAAATCTACAGGGTAGATATTAACATAATTTTTCTTTTATATATGAAAAAATTGAGGCTTAGAGAGGCTAAATGTATTTCCAGAAACTAATTCTTGTGGGTTTTTTGAGGAAGATTAGCCCTGAACTAACATCTGCTGCCAATCCTCCTCTTTTTGCTGAGGAAGGCTGGACCTGAGCTAACATCCATGCCCATCTTCCTCTACTTTATAGGTGGCATGCCTGCCACAGCATGGCTTGACAAGCCGTATGTAGGTCCACACCCAGGATCTGAACCCGCGAACCCTGGACTGCAGAAGCAGAACGTGGGAACTTAACCTCTACACCACCAGGCTGGCCCCAGAGGCTAATTCTTGATGTTGTTACTGTTTGAACACAAGATGATTAGGCCAAGGCCACTGAAACAACACATGACTCTGCCTCCAAGAGCTTAGATGTAACATGTTAGGCACATGGAGGTGAGGAGGTGGTAGGTCACTCAAAATTCAGAAAAGAAAACTGACAACGAGTAAGCAGAGCTCTGAAAAATGAGTGTGCAGAAATGACGGAAAAGAAGAAATCTTGGAGTTTGGCTGACCATTTCTAAGGTTGCTGAATGATGAAAGAATGAAAAGATGAATGAAAAATAGTACAACAACTTTCATACTTTCCTTTGTATAACAAGAGTGTCTATAGCCAGCGTTGATTGAGAGACTCTATGCAGATGGCAACGTGCTAAGTATTTTACATTCAGTATCTCAAAACACCCTACCCTATCCAGCTGGGTAGGTCCTACTATGATTCTCATTTTGAAAGTGAAGAAAATAAGATTTTAAGACTCTAAGTAGCATGACCAGACTGCTGTTAATAAGTGAGGAAGCCCTGAGTTAAAGCTGGGCCTACCTGAATGTAGGGCCTGTGCAGTCAACCACAAGCTATATCCATCTCATTATTTTATATTCATGCATTCTTTTGAGTCTCACAATAAACTTATAAGATACATAGTGACTAATGTAAAAACTGAAACTCAGAAATGTTAAGGAACAACCCTAGGTCAAACCCAAATTTAATCATATTGATGGTTAAAGACATGTGAAATGCACTAAAAATGAAGTATTTTCAAAGCAAATGCTTTTCCAGAGAAGTGTCTAATCTCCCTACTTTGTTGAAAGATTATTCTCAATTATAGACCAAATAAAATATTCCTTTGGGATATTTTCAATACTGAACAGTAGTTTGCTTCTAAGATCATTTTATGTTTACTATTTGAGATCTTCCTGGTACTTCTTATTGATGAGTTCATTGAGAACAACATTTATGAAATAAGAGAATTAATCAGCATTTAGTTGTTTTTATTCCAAAGAAAAGAACAATAATTTAAAAACAGGCATAGCAAATTATAATGTCTTTCTCAAATTGATTTAATATTAATTGCCTTAGTGATTTCCATCTAAGAGCCTATAACAGACTGTGTTGGTTTTGCATAGGTTCATACTGCCTATCACACATTTATCAATGTAATACGTAAATACATAATTCCATAGCAAGACCTAGCATCAGTGCCAATGAGGATGTTCAAGGAGAATGAAAAAAGGGATAAGAAAAGATTATTCCCCCAAAGGAGATGAGATTCCATTGAAATCAGAAGGGGATAGATCAACAGTTGGAAAAGGCAGATGGCACCCCGTTCTCACTCCTGTTGTTGGTGAGGATTTCCGTTGTGCCCATCAAATGGGTATCTCTTTCTTTCTTTTTCAGGAATTGGAAGAACCAGGGAAGTTTGTACAGCACACGGCTGTGGCTGACAGACAAGTCAGGAATCAGCCTCCTTCAGTAGGACGCTAATTGTCTTTGACACCTTCTATTAACAGCAGGGAGCACAGCCGAAGACTGGTGCAGACACGTGACCCGACATTTCCTTAACTTCCATTTTTCTAAAAGTATAAGGTTTCTTTTTTTCCTGTGCTTGTTTTTGTTGTCGAATTCAAATTTCAAACTACATTACAAGATAAGCATATATAAAATATAACTTTAAAGTTCTGTTAGTATAAAAATGAGATATAAAAGCAAAAAAATAAGGCAAATGGGCTTGATATGTTAATATTAACATATTCCAAATGTCTTTCAGAAATGGTAATACATTCAAGTTGCCTTTCCCTCTCCTACAACCATGACAGACATAATTAGAGATTTTTCCACTTATTTTCTCTTGAGGCTGGGCTAGGTAGTTATCCGAAATGTCTAATATTGGCTCAGTTAATGAACCTCATTTGCTGTCTCTGCTCTAGGCCATGCTAAAGCATCTCTAACACACAATTGGCCTGACATAATTACAAAACAAAACTTTGGGTTGTGAAATCGTGGGAAGAAAACAGATTATCAGTGAAGTTTAGGAATAACACGGAATCAATAACTTTTTGTGACAACTCACCAGTTCTTTTCTTTATGCCAAACTAAAGAAGTTTTCCTGCTGCTGAATCACAGAGTGAACCAACCAACCAACCAACCAAAAAGGGAACCTAGGTAGCTGCAGCAAACGTTTTGCTAAGCCTGGCTAGCCCACATATTGGAGGCATTGAATGACTGGCACCCAATGTTTGTGCTGCTGGGGGATGAGGATATTTAAGAAGTAATATCTTCTACAGAAATCAATTTTTAAAATAATCAATATTAAAAACAAATAAATTTACAAAGTTTAAGGCTCTGTAATAGTTATCTGAAGCAAAATAGACTTTCTTAAATGTATTATTTAAGAATAAAGAGGAAACTATGCATACTTCTCCTTCAAAGAGTAAAGTTAGCCTTTTAAGCAATTTTTTTCTTGTCTTTATAATTTTCTGTGTTATAAAAGTCCATAGAATATGGCAGCCCCTATCTGACTCTACCAGGATCAAGATTCTGGGGTTCAGACTGAGCAAGTACGAGCCAACAATTCCTTGTGACCAGTTCTACATCTCTGAGTGCTTCATCCTACACAAGTACCATTAGGGTTAGAGTTCGTCTAAGTAGCTGATAGGAACTAAATTAGAGAGAGAAATATGAAAATGGAATGAGATTCTTCCTGAAATCTCAAATTTGAGCAAGTGTGAAGAGACTGAAGTCTCTTTATAGTTCCTAGTAAAAGAAAGTCCATTGGTTTCTTCCTCGTCATTTTAATTTAGGAAATAGAACCTGGGCAGTTATGACTCTGGACACACACTGAAAGGGTAGCTTCTCTTAATAACTCTGTGGCTTTAGGCAAATTATTGAAATTTTCTGATCTTCAGTTCACTTATTTCTATGGTTGCAGAAATAATAGTACCAACCTTATAAGGTTATTATAAGGGTTAAATGAGGTTAACTATGAAAAGTACCTAGCAAGATATCTGGCACATAGTAAATGCTCAATAAATGTTAGCTGATATTCGCTATTAATAATGTTATTGTGTAAAATTTGCAGCAGACTCCTCCTCTTTTCCCCTAGACCCACTTCTTCTCACTCTTCATCCTCGTGGAGTCATGAATCTCTCCCATAGTAGTAACACGTTTTCAATACCTTCTTCTGTCCCCTGTGTTCTTTGCTGCCTCAGACTCTTTGCTGTCTATTTGTTTCATGCTTGGTTTTCACATTCAGTCTCCCCTCTAGTTGCAGACTGACCCCAGGTGAGCAACTACCCCTGTAGCCCCAGTCCCTCCCCAGCAGGAATAGCCTATTCCTCCCCTTTTCCCATCTCACATGGGTATGGATATGCTTCTGGATGTGCTGCTAGGTAGCTAAGAATCCAGAATGCAGAGAAGCACATGAATAGAATCACCTAGAAGAGAGAAGAGGATCCTTGAGATGCAAATAACTAGGACTACAAAAGAAAAAAATGGTATATTCAATTATGCTATAACAACAGCAGCAACAGTAAAACCCAGAACTCAAAGCAGCAGATGTTAATTTCTTGCTCAGATTTATAGCCATCTTGGGTGGCAGAGGGCTCTGCTTGACATTGTTTTTAATCAGGGATCTTGGCTGAGGAAGCATCCACATTTGCAATTGCATCTGTTACAATGCGAGGAGTAAAGCAACAGGTATTACACAGAAGCAACACAGGACACTTCAGCTTACGTTACATAATCAAGAGCAACATACATGTCCATGCCTAACTGCAAAGGGGCTCAGAAGTTCCTATCCTACTATTCATCTGGGATATTAGTGAACAGCCCTAATAATTACAAAACTGTAAATCAATGTAATAGAGTATGAGTTCCTGACAGCATGAAATACATTTCATGAAACTTTATATTCTCTCCTTCAGAGAAAAACTTGACAATAGTGACATACAATAAATGCTTTTGTAATGAGTAAATTAATGATCTCATATATTGTATTGTAAAAATGAATCCAAATGTTGATTACGCTAATAGATGCAATATATAATGATAATAGCACAGGAGTTTTAGAAGAGGTTATTTACTTGGAATGTTTATTCACACATTTCTTTTGTTTTAAAAATTTTTAAAGTTAAAATACTTCACTTCCAACCTTGAGTTTTCTCTGAAGGCTTTTCCTATGCAGTGTCATATAAAGCGCTCGTGGGACTTTGCCAAAGCTTGCCATTGAGATCTCCTGAAATTACTCTAGATTTAAATTGCTTAACTTGGTATAGGAGCACACTGACATTCACAGCTGTTAATCATGGGCACTGTAGGATTATGAAGGCATTTAATGTTTTCCCTCTGTGGGATATTAGGTGTCATGTTAGCACATTGTGATCATTACTTTGAGTGCATGTTTTAATTCTCTTCTCTCCCCACCAATGTGCATCTCCTTCTAGGCTTATAATTTAACCTCTGTGTGCCTGTTTTCATTTCTGGGGGAAATTAATGCATTGTAGAAATTTAAAATTTCTATTATGACTTCATTCCAGTAGGTTTCAAATTCATATACTTGATCTGATTGAATGAGTCATGAAGGGGTGGAAATATATTGAAAGTGCCATGAGTGGATGTTGAAAACTACTGAGACTAAGTATTGATGAAGAGCAATTACTGTAATATGACAAGAAACTTCTTGATTTAGAAATCCTCGATGTTTCCAAGTTATGAGAAAATAAGGAATATAATGAAAGAGAAAGAAAATCAACACTTTTCTGAAATATTGTATTTAAAAAATCAGTACTACAATAGAAAATTAAAAATGAGTTCTTTTACAAATATAGACTTTTCTCTCATAGTCTATGCTCTAACACTTTATTTTTTTGACCTAATAGTGATACTTGATATACCTGCCACTTAATTTTTTGTTCTCCCTTCTGAGTAATCAGGCTACAAACAAAGCCAGCTAAAACTTAAAGAATACTTGCAGTTTTGTCTCTTGATAAATCTAGAGGTAAGGAATAGACAATTCAGCACAGGACAAAACTCCAAAATAAAACCTTTCCCTTTTCCTCATCAAATTCTCTTCTCCATTTATCAAATACCAGGTCCTTTCTTTTTCTCTACGTTGGAATCCTGCACTCTGCCCAACTCCCATGAATGGAAAAGTTCTACTTGCTACACGTCCTTGCTAAGACGCATTATTATCAGTATCTCTATTTTACCCAGTCTGATGGCTGTGTACAGAAATAGCATTGTGACTTTAATTCGTGCTTGCCTGATTTTAATGAGGTTGAGCACCTTTTCATACATTTATTGGTGATTTGGATAGTCTTTTTTGTGAAGTGCTAATTCTTGTCTCTTGTCCATTGTCTATTAGAATGCCTATCTTTTCCTTATTGATTTGTAGAAGTTTATTTCATATACCTGATAAATCTTTTGTGAATTATATTTAGTATTACAAATATATTTTCTAACTCTGTATATTGTCTTTTTATTCCCCAAATTCTGTCTTTTGATGAACGGAAGTTCCTAATTTTATTGCAGTTCATTTTATCAGTGACTTTATTTACAGTTATTGCCTTTTAAATCCTGTTTGGGAAATCTTTGCCTATCCCAATGTCATGGAAGATTCGTAAAAAATTTTAGATCTAAAATCCACAGTGAACTGAAGAGGCCCACGTTAATATTTCATTGATAGTGATTAGACTGTTCTTTTCTGATTGCTCTGTAGGGCTACCATCACGAGAAATTAAGTGCCCACATACATATGTGATTATTTCTGGACTCTGTTCTGTTCCATTGGTTGATGTTTCCATCCCTGTGCAATTACCATAGGATCTTTATTAACATAGGTTTATAATAAAACTTTTTATTGGACAGTTTAAGTGCTACAATGTTTTTTCTTCTTCAAAATTATCTTGACTATTATTTTTTTGTTTTTATATAAATCTAAAATTAGCCTTTTGATTTTTCTGAAAAAAAAAACAAAACAAGATTTTGCTTGAAGATTCAGTTGGTTAACAGATCAAATTTGGGGAAAGCAAAATCTTTGTTGGTGATACTAAATCGTCCAATCCTTTGTCGACGAAAATAATCCATGACCAATCTATAAATGAAAATTTAGGCGAGTTTATTCTGAGCCAAAATGTGAGGACCATGGCCTGGGGCCTTTCTTTCCGAAGGAATAAAGGGCACCAAAGAAGTGGAGTGTACAGAGTGGTTATATACCCCCACTGAGGATGTTTCACATATGATTGAAATGTCCCTTTTACAATAGTCGCAAGACTGCTCTGTCAGCACAGTGATTGATGGACACAGGAGATAGGTCTGCTGTCTTGGGTGAACACAGCAGGGTGGCAGGTCTGTTGTCTCAAGCTGGGTGGTCACAGGTGAGATGGGTGGTCAAAGGTGAGCACAGCAATCAGTTCCTAGCCTAAGGAAAGATGCCTATCGTTAGGGAAATGCCAATGTCGGGGGAAGTTGCACCTTTATCTTAAGGCCATTTGTTCTTGCCATAGTAAATATTTAAAGCAGATATACAATGCGTGCTCAATGACCACGGTCAGGCCCTTTTGGAAAAAGCAAAGTCAGGCCAAATTGGGTTTATACCAAATGGCTGCCTCATATACTCCAATGTATCCTATTGCTTGCCATTTCTCTTTGTCACCTTAAACATTATATTTCCCTCCGAGTATTTAGTTTTCTTTAATTTTAAATGATGTTTCATGATAGTGGCCTGACATCTCTTTTGGTAAAATCATTTAAGGATCAGGGACTACTATGACTTCCTAGGGGAGCTGCGTTGTTGCTGAGGTATAAAGTATGAGTACAAGCCAGCTGGACAAAGCCAGATGGAGGGGGATGAGATGATTTGTGGGAGGGATTCAGGCCACTGTTAGGGTTTGAAGAAGAGTGAGATTGTGGCAAATTTCAAAATTAGAAGTACTTTAGTATGACTCACAGTAGTTTAGTGTGATCGGTTGTACTAATATACATTATTTGGATATAATTGTTAACATTCCCATGATTATCGCTTGACATGAAAACTGGTATATTAGAGAGCATAATACTTATTTTTCTCAATGTTTAAGTTATTCTGTGAAAGATATTTGTTGTTAATGGATATATTTAAGCATTTTATTGTTATAAAACAAGGAAAAGGAAAAGAGTGTACTGCTGTTTTGCTAAATTAAATAATAACTTCATAAGCCCTGATATAGTCAACACATTTTCCTAAGTACTTAAATTACTAAGAGATAGAGCTTTGGGGCCTTGTGATAAGAGACTCTCTAACTTAGTATCATATACTATGTAAATACGTAGCACTTGCAAAAATAAAATATATTTGAAGATAAGCTGCATTAATAAAAATAGAATTTAAAGCCTTTAAAGCCATAGGTCATAAAATGTCCTTTAAAGCCATAGATCATACAGTATCCTTGGTAATATATTTAAAAATACAAGAATACACTAAGAAGTTTGAACTAGATTGAGAAGTTGCATTAATTGTAATAGTGTGCTAAACTCTCCCTCTGAGTTTAAGCTCTAAATTTATGTCAAATAATGCCCATTTCTTCATTACTTTGAAAAAGAGGAAACGATTATTTTCTTCAAAATAAGAACAATTAATGAAGAAAATGGATGTGGGTCCAGGAGCCTATAAATGATGCCCCAAACGATTTGACATCTTGGAGATTAAAAAAAAAAACTCCTGCCTTAGTGTTCAGTGTGAGAACACACAGCAGCAGGAAACAAAATCACGTAAAGCGGAAGTCTTGGGTCCTTGTTTGGTGATGAAAGATACTAACAGGAAGAAGGCAAGGTTGAGATATTTTAGATTAAAAATAATTTAAAAGAGATAATAAATGATAAGAAATACTTTGCCATATATATTCAGAACGAAATAGAGAATGTCTTAGTGATATGTTTATGGGATGTGGACTGCTGCTAATAGAAAAACCGCTTATCATTTTTGATAAGCATTTGGTATTTTGATGTAAGGGTTCTGAGACTTTATAGCTCGGGCTCACTGGTTTGAATTCACACAGGTCAACAGTCATTGAAAAGCATTATGGTAGTTCCAGATCATGGGAGATGCTGCAGCAGTTGATGTTCTGTTTTCACCAGATCTCTAAGCAGGGAGCAGTATTGTTTGAGGAAATGAAATGGACTTGGGGTAAGGAGACGAATTACAGTGTCAGCTATGCCACAAATTAGCTGTCTGGCCTTAGGCAAGCCACATGGATTCTCTGGACTTTTCTTAACTGTGAAATGAGGAAGTTTCTTATAAATTTTTAAGTGTATAATTAAAAATCCAGATTGCAACTTGTATTTATTTGTCCACATAATGTAAGTACAATTAGCAGAGCCAAAGAATTAGTTACAGTCTCAAGCTACTCTCTTTACAACCTGTGTTGAGGCCCTTCCTCTGTTAAGTGGATGCAGAGGAGAGAACAATGAGAAAACCACACATTTTGGAGCAAGAAGCTGCCTTGCTGAGAATGATTCAATTGTCACCTGTTACCTGACAAGTCCTAGTTGAAGATTATTGAAGCCCTTCTGGTTTCAAAATCCTCTCTTATCATCAAAAAGCTGATGTTTTCAGCATACCATCGTTTGGGCCCAGCTCACATTTATCTGTCAAAAAGCCTGCATATCAATGGCCCGTCCTCTGCTTATACCAGCCAAGCACATAGGGTGTAGACCAAGGCTTAGTCAAGCCCAGCATCCTGAGGCCCTTCCCAGGAAAGGAAGTGAGATCATCTTCAGTCTTCCTACCTTTCTTTCACAACAGACACCAAGTGCTGATTAATATTCATCCCCATTTTGATTTTACTCCTTTTTCACCCTACTGGTGGTATTTTCCAGTCAAACCAACTTCAGCTTAGAAATTTTCATTAAGCAATAACCACTAAAATCAATTCTGCCAGAGTGACCTCTTTAATTTTTCGGATGTGAGTTCTAGAGGTAGAAAGGACTGCCTTTCTCCCATCGTAGAGAATCACCAATTCACTTGCAAATCCAATCCATTCGAAGCCCTGAAACTGTTTGGAAAGGTCTTCAGAAAATAAACCACTGAGAGATTAAAGTAAATAAAAGCAATATTAAAAAGAAGTAAGAAAAGAAAGCCATAAAAAGACATTTCACATCATTTCCAGTTGAGGTAAACAGCTAGTCTCGATAGCTTATCTCAGAAGTACTAACTCAGGGTCTCCTATAAAATATTCAAAAAGTGTTTTCCTTGCTGCAGAAAAGATACATATCAATTATTTTCAATTATGCACCTGGATTTATCAAACATACCACTGGAGTTATTGAAATAATCTGTCTCAGAAAAACATAATCAAATACACTTCAAACTAGCATTTGCCAACATTAGTCATCCTCGACACAGCTTTCAACAAATTTCTGAAAATGCCTGCAGTTTCCACAAAAACCCCCTAAGGGAAAAAGAGCAAGGAAGACTGAGGTTATATGCAGTTTCTCTTTACCCAGCCGTAACTGTTTAAATTTATGAAATACAGCCTTGCTGAGGATGCATATCTCTGTAGTTGTTCTCTATAAAGGAGAAATCTAAGACTCTAGCAGTTGCACTTAAATAACTTCCTACACAACCTTCCCCATTTCTTTCTTACCCTTCAAATTCTCGGGCCAGTGTCAAACTTAGTGCAGGCATACACAGTGGTCCACACAGCTTCTCCAATTTAGCGGAATTCTTTGACTTTCTCCTCAAGGAAATGAAAGAAGATGTGGACTAACATTAACAAACTAAAGTATTTATCATACATTTTTATAATTATAAAGAATTTAAAACTAGATGATAAATAGTCATTACAAAATCCTGTATTATGAAAGAAATGTAACCATTGCATTTTACTTTCAAACAATTTTTAATGGCATGAGAAAATGTTCATTATATCTTAAAATAATAGCATAATATATGAACCTATTTTCATAATACTATATATAAAATATACTCTATGTAACAGGGCATATATTAGCAGAAATAAAAAATAAAAACTGTTAATAGTAGTTATATTATGCTTTTATATTATGAATGGTTTGGGATTTTTTTCTTATATTTTCCAAGTTTTCTATAATTTTATATGTTAATTTTAGAATTAAAAATTAAAAAATAAGGGTCTCTGAGGCACAAGGTAGACTAGGTATTTCAGATCTCTGTCAAGTTCACTGAAGTTTGTTTTATCTATGTTGGCCTCTGGAGAGGTTTTAAAAAAATACAGATTCCAAGGCCCACCACAGGCCCATTTTTAGTGATGATACTGGCAACTAATAATTTAGCAAAAGCATCATAGACAGTCTGAGGATCAATGAGATCTGGCAAGCCAAGTCTAAGTAACAAGGCTTAATGCTCTAATCATTGAACAGCATTGCTGGCATGAGCTTTAGATATTATCTTTTAGAAATGCCTTATTTTATGAGATATAAAATAAGCCCAAAAGATGCACAGCTTTTGATACGGAAAGAACAGGAACCGTGATATCCTGACTTCTAGCACACTTCTGGCTCCTCAGTATTCTACCAACCCCAAAGGCCTCAGTGCTCATGACCTTTTATAGAAAATCTGGCTTCTTTCTTGCCAATGCCCGCATCTAATCCCTACTGGGAATGGTTAAAGTCTTCAGCTCACAGGCACCAGTCATCAGACAGTGACAACTCTTAGAATCATTGCCTGCTTGAGTCAAATCCATTCACCCAGTTGTGCAAAAACTCGGGACTCTTTTCTCTTGCTTTAAAGACCTCTCTTGCTTCACAAACTTTTGAGACCTTGTTAAAAGTGGAATGTAAAATGATTGAAAATTCACTTGTTTTTAACGTATTACTTATGCATGAGAATGTGTACTTTGAGAGATAAAAAGTGAATCGAAAGCCTGAGTAATTAAATATGCAACTCTTTGTTTAATTTTTAAAATATTTTCCTTTTAATTGATTAATTTATTCATTTTTACCAACATTGAGTAGAACAACATGAATGCAATGAACTGACAGGCTAAAGGAAAGATAAAAATTTTGAAAGAAGAGACACCTACAATGACTTTTAATTTAAATGTCTTTTAACAAAGAGAATTTCTGTTTTCTAGTTTCAATTTGAACTTAATTTTATTGGTTCAAAAAGTAGGCAAGA